CCAATTGCTTGGCGTCAAAGGTAATTGCGCCAGTGAAAGGGTTAAAATATAATGAAATTTCCCAAACATTTACTTTGCTTCAGGCAGCGGGTAAGCCAACGTTTTGCTTATTATTTTTTTGCCTATTATTATTTTATTTAACGTTGCATATTATTTTACGCACCACATTTTTAGGCGTGTAGTAGACATCTTTAATATTCAACAAAACAAAAGATTATTTGTAGGATAAAATTAGAAAATAAGGTTTAATGTTTGCTTCCTAGTGACTACTGCCACTGTAGTAAATTTAGTTAGAATAACTCTTTAACAGCTTGGAATATAAAATCTTTGAACTCGAGTATTGCTCTGATCAACTACATATAAATACTGTTCAGCTGAATCCAAAGCTAAACCTACTGACTACTTAATTCATTAGGGCCAGAATCTACTGTTCCATTTCCAGCGAATATCGTAGCAATGTCAATACCGACGGTAAACTTTTTAACACAATTGTTACCTATAAAAACAACAAAAAGTTGAAGTATGATTAGATTAAAAGTTTAATACATTATTTATTTTATGTTTAGCTTACTTGTATCAGCTACATACAGTGTTTGTTCGTCTGCAGTAACTACAATACCATATGGAGTACCCAGAGTATTAGAAGCCACCAATCCACCACCGGTAGCGGGATCTCCACCCGGTAACCATCGTAACACACGTTGATTAGTACTATCAGCTACGTAGATATTTCCTGAACTACTAACAACATAGAGATCAATTGGTCGATGAAGTACAGCTATGCTACCATTGCCTAGAAGTTTAAATATTGTAAAACTGAGCTACTTAATACGGGAAAAAGTTGGTACTTTTTCGTGACATTCTTTCGAGACACATTTCTAGAGCAGTTTAATCAAGTATAATAAAAGATGAACCAGTTAGTCTGCATATCACTCATTCTTATGATTTTTCAGTTGCACGTTCAACTGAAATATTTTAGAATGTTCTAGACTCTATGGCAGGATATTTTCTTTTCTTCAAATATCCGACTTCGTACATTACCAGCACATACACTCAAATGCAGCGTATTTCTTAGCTGCACGTTAAAAGGCATATTATCCGATTAAGCTTTTTTGCGCTGATTATGAATATCTTATGCTTATATCAGCTTGTTTTGGCATCAAAAATCGCATAATAATGGTCAGGTATTTTCTAATTTTGACCATATTCTTTCATTTTTAAGGTCATATTTTGGAAAGGGAATGACTACCTAACCCTTGAGATAAAGACTTACGAGGGGACCTCCTCAGATGTCCAACTCCGATTTCAATAATCTTTTGCCTATAGATACTATATAAAGTCCTTGTAAGAACCCTGTTATGTCAGTCGTCGCTGACATCCCTTCCTCTTTCTGCTTTTGCTATTAATTTCTCGTGACCATAAAGAATGTTGACTCAGTTTGTTGAGTCAACATTCTTTCTTTATCTATATATAATGTTTGCTTATACACACAGAGTAGCTTTTTGTTTTGATGTTTTTGTAATTTGATTCTTACGAATAAAATCATAAATGGACTGCAGCATTTCTTTCTGACGACGCACTGAAATGGTACAATCGGTAATTTGAAACACGGAATAATCGACAAAATGCATTGAAAGATATTTTTCCATCACCACGTGGACCATCGCATTCTATTAGACATCAGCAAATTCTTTTATGAAAAGAAGGTGATACAGAAGAATTTACTCAATATTATGCAGATATGACCAAGTTGTACACAATACAATCCAGTAATGACCAATGAAGGACGTATCGTTCGATTAAAGTTGTCATGAACACATTATTATTAAATAAATGTTCTGGAAATATATATACTTCACCAGAAGAACTACACGCGTATATTCAACGTCTAGAACAGGATCAATTATTTATTCAACAACGTTCATCCTTAGGCACACCTCTTTCTGATAATTCACTTTCAACATTCTCCCCAAGCATCTCATCTCCGTCACTTAATTCGATATCTTCATCAGCACTCCATCATCAACGATTACCGCGTTGTTATCGCTGTGGCAAATACGACCATACTGAATTAGTGGCATATTACGTCAAAATACTTCCAAAGGTACTCGAATCTATTACTATAAGTCTCTTACACTGACGTGCTCTGAAAACCGTTACGATCCATTAGAAAGAGAGACCTTAGCCATATACTGGTATGTACAAGAACGTCGTGAGTATCTCGAAAATTCTCCTTTCTCGATTGAGACTGATAGTCAATCATTAACAAACTTTCATAAAAAATAGATTGATACATTATATCTGTTCAGGGGTAGAAATTTTAAAATTGATAAAATAGTAACAGCAGCTGTTTTTAGATTCATATTTATTTAATAAAATTTAAAATTAAAAAATTGTTTAAATCTTTTTATAAAAGTTAAGGCGACGTTTCGAAAATTGTAATTTTCATTATCAAGACAATAGAGACGATCAGTCATATTCGTTTTAACTTTACACTACGTTAATCGTCTCTGTTGTCTTGATAATGAAAATTACAATTTTCGAAATGTCGACTTTATTTTTTATAAACAGATTTAAAGAAATTTTTAATTTTAAATTTTATTAAATAAATATGAATCTAAAAACAGCTGCTGTTACTATTTTATCAAATAAATTGATAATAAACGTATTACGCATTGGCTATTTTATATTATAATATTATTATCACGGGAACAAACTAAAATTCGTCTCCCATTTTTATCGAAAACATTAATTGAAGATACTCTGTTTACTCATCCTGATCATCCCTTAGGCGGCCATTTTGGTATTGAACGTACGTAGCAAAATATTAAACATAAGTAGTATTGGCCTAATATGAAAGACTCAATTGAAAATTATATTCGTTCCTCCATCGAATGTGCGAAATTTAATATACAACGTCACGCGCGTTCACAAGGTATCAATTAGGCATGAACTACGGTACATGCAAGGTCTCAACAGACATGACTTAGCACTTAAAGTTCGCGTCTCAGTTCAACGATGAAAAGTGGTTGATAGATCCGACTCAGCTAGCTGCTTTTTCATCGCATATATTGAGCGGTACTGGAAGCGATTCTTGTGCGCGATTTTATGCCCTGTGTGAACTAATTTGTAAGTATGATTTCATCGTTATTAAATTGCTTTTTGGATTAAGATATACTAAAGAATCATATACATTTACAAGCGAACACAAAACGTTATGGTAGTAATGCTCTTACAACTACGGTTATTTCTGTGATAATATATACGAACACATTTGCTTTTGCAGAGAGAAAACACGTACTTACAGACATATGTTTTTAAACATATGGGCTTTTAAATTGAAAATTCAATATCATCTGAATAAATCTCTCTGCTTTGTAATATTTCTGTTATATACATTCATCAGCAGTTTTTGTCGTATAAAAAGCTTCTTGCTGTTAGGTTTATATGTTGTATGTCGGATGCCATGCTGCCAGTTGGTATGGTTTTGTACAATAACTATGTTCAACGTAGAAAATTCGACTAATGATTATACATAACAAACGACATACAACATAAAAAGCAACGAGAGAGAAGATTATACAAAAATATGTATAGCAGTACGAGTCATCTGAAGTGGAAATAAAAAGTCGCCTGTTTTAACATCGGAAAGAATGAGCTTTCCTTTCCAGCAACTTTGTGAAAAATTTTCTTTATTCTTCAAGATTATAAAAACGTTTGGATGAAGTGTCAAGGTTGTTTCGTTGTCAAAACGGGGACGCTTCTTCAATGACATACGCGGCTCTCTATTCAGTTTTGAGATTAATTGAACCGTCCAATAGAAATTTAAGAATAGCCTGCGTCACGACATTTCATCATGTTTTTGACGTTTCAATAGAGAAGGTTAAACTCACTAAAATGGAATGGTGAAAGTTCTTGGAACAGCAAAAATTACATAAAAACATTCAGTTTGCGTTGCGCTCTATTCGATACACTCAAAAATCAATTTCCAAAATCTTTTGAACTGAGTGAAACGTGTACCGAAAAATAGGGGTTTTCAAAGATATATAAAAATATACCAAAACATGTAAAAACCACTTTAGCTTGTAAAACTCGTGTCAAAGACCACACCAAGAAAACAAAATCACACCAGGAAAAACAGTTTGTGGAGGATACTTCGGAATATATGTCCATACAAAGCTTTCGGTTCCCGGATTTGTAGTTTTTGATAAAAAACATTTTGAAATTTTATTCGGGGTTTTTGCCCTATTTTTAAAATTTCAATAAAAGCTTCATTTTTTGATATGAAGAGTTGATTCTAGCGTAGTTCGATAGAGAACATTAATTTGTACCAGGAGAAACCCTTTTCATCGTTCCAGAATGAAGTTTGCCGCAGAAATTTAACGTCCGCCTTCCCGAGGAAACTTGAGAGCTAAAAGTATTTTTCGCCTCACCTTACGGCTAGTTTCGCTCGAAACAAGCATTTTGAAGCAAAACTTTGAATGCAAAAGTTGTTCAGAATCGAATTTTAGAGTCCCTGGCAAGAGCTTATTTTAAAATTTTCTGTTTTTGATTTTTAAAATTGAAAAATACGAAATTTTAAAATTTTATAAACCGTAAAGTTTAATTTAAAAGTCGAAAACAGAAAACTTTAAAAAAAGCTTTCGTCAGGAACTCCAAAATTCGATTCGGAACAACTTTTGCACTCAGAGTTTTGCTCCAAAATGCTTGGCTCGGGCGAAACTGGCCGTAAGGTTAGGTAAAAAAATCTTCGGTGAGCCAAAAACCAGCGATATTTTCAAGTTTTGAATTTTTTCTTCAAGTCCTCCCGGTTTGTGGAGGACACTTCGAAGTGTATGTTCGAAATTTTTTCGGGTTACTGAAATTATTTGGCTGAGAAAAAAATAAATTACTTAAACAATATTGTTAAATTTTCAACTTACAAGACTTACCGAGCGACCAAAAACGACTTCTAAAATTTTTGAGGTAGTCCGTGTTGTAGCCCGTGAAATTCTCTGTCAGATGAGATGTTGCTTAAACTTTTTCGTTGTGTTGCTATTTTACAAATAAAACTTTGTGCTAGTAGAGTAGGCTAAGTTAACGTTTATTAGTACTAATTGGTCAATACCAGGAAGGAAAGAACAAAAATAAATAATAAATAAAAATAAAATAATAAATATTCACCACACATTTCTCTATCGATCTAGACAAGAACCAAGCTATTGTGATTAATGGAGGATGGACAAGAATTTTTTTAATAACAATCCCTTGTTCAAAAATTTAACAATATTTTTTTAAGTAATTAATTTTCTTCTTAGCAAGCCAAAATTTAATGTCCGCAAGCCGAAAAAACTTCAGCACATATACTTCGAAGCGTCCTCTAAAAACTCAGTGGAGGCTCAGTGGAGTTATTCAAATCTAGCACTTCAGACTTATTAGTCTCTCAAATGAAAGATGAAATGTATTAAAAACTCGACAGAAATAAGTTGTACAAGATCACGTTTACGCAACTTTGCTTTCTACAAAAAAGTTTCACCTTTTATATTTCACAGAGTCTACGTTAACAAATTTGCGCGTAAAATTTATTGTATTTAAAATCGGTCGAATGGCTTTTGAATAAACGTATTCAGTCACGGATCGGTAAGTCGAAGATGCATCTGCTTGTTCTTATTGGCTATATTTGGCTACTCATATCGAACACACATTAGAAAAGCTCAGAATTCTAACAGATTTCTGCTATGATATAAAACGCGCATCTTTTTCTAATGTGTTAGAATTAGTCGTTTCCTTGAATATTCTTCTCTCACAATAAAGTTAGGCATGGATCGATGAATCAGAGAACACCAACTGAATATGTGTGAATTCTTGTCAATAAATAAATCGTTTCCTTTTCAATTCTCCCCATGTAAACCTTAACTTTTTACGTTACGCCATTTGAACTTACGGCAATGAAATTGTCACATATTGTAATTGAGCATAATGAATTTATTAGAACTAGTTCCGAGTACCTAAGAAATCTCTAGGAGGCCTCCAGAAAACTTTTACATTTTTGAAAGTTTTTTTAGTTGACCTTACTGAGAAATGATGAGTGAGCATGCTATCCAGTACCTGAGATCTTTAGAAGCTCTCGAAAAAATTTTCTAAGTATTAATCTAATAAAGCAGAGATAAAACCAACGTCTATAAAAAGATCTTCTCAGTTACCATAGATACGTGCACTTTTACTAAATCCTTGCTATGAGCGTCGATCGAAAAGACGCGCAGATATCAACACGTCATATCGCTTGCAAAAAATCTTGGTAGCTTGTCATGCTATGTCACTTGTTGTTCTGTCTGATTTCAGCCATCGTTCAAAGCGTTGTCTCTGATGCCATTTAAAACTTTGATTTCCAGTATATCATGCATGTTTATGCTATGTTAATCTACGTAATCATGTGTCGAATACAAAAACACAGAAAAACTGTGCTATGAATGAACAAAAACTATCTATGTTGAAAAACAAATGATACATGTAGCATAAGCAAAACAAGTTCTCGTACAAATACAATTATGCACATCAAATAATGTTCTTTTTTCACCAGTAAATTGCTGACACCATCCTTCTGTTCATGTTCTTCCCGTCCTTTATCTTGTTTACCTTTCGAATCTTCATCATCTAAAACAAAAAAAAATTGGTAACATTCAAATTTACTAGAAAGTGACGCATATCATTATGCATCAAAGCCGATGGAGCACAACATTTTGTGCTACATCAGAAAACTAACTGGC